TCTAACAATAGTTCACCTAACTTCAATTCTGATACGTTATTACCCAAAGAACTGATACCAGAAGTTTCACCTGCCAGTTTCAAGTCATCGGAGATAGTTGCTTTCTTGGATAGGATGTATAAAGAAAAGGTTAGTGATGAGATTAGATAACGCAATAGGGAGAAGAAACTTCAAGCTCAAGAGTCTCTTCTAATACCTCCTGAAGAAGAAAGGCCTCAAGTTCTCGACTCTGATATTCAGCTATGTAATAGTTCAACATCTGAAGTCAGTGAGAACATCAACCTAAGTTGTCCTACCTCTGAATCAGTGATCCATAATCAAAAGAGAGTTTCCAGAGGTAGCAGATCACATAAGAAAAAAGGAATAGATGAATTTAAACACGAATTATTCAACCCTTCTTTGGAATCAGAGATTTTGCCATTAATAAATCATAATAATGTGACTGAAATTTCTGAGACAGCCCGTCCCAGAAAAGTTACCTATGACAATATTGATGAAGCCTCACAACATCTAGTTCAATTATGTGACAAAGCTATCGATGCCAAAGATAGGGCAAATCGAGCTAATCAGGAAGAAATTTTATGTTAGTGCCTCTACTAGAAGGATTTCAAAGATCAGCTTGATGAGATTATCAGAAGCAATGGTGGTAAATTTAATGAAAAGAAGGCGAGAGGTATGCTTTATGACACCATCACAGAACAGCTTACTATTCTCCATAAGAAAAGATCGCAAGAATTAGGGCTAAAACTTAGGGATATATCACAGGATAGCTTGCGTAAGAAAACTCAGAGAGCCGAAAAAAACTATAAATTATTCGAAAAAGTGGATCTAGATAAGATCAAGTATATTAATTCATATAGCGCGAATTCTATTTCAGAGCTTACTGATGCACAATTTCAAGAGATCATAGATTATGGTATATCTTTGGAAAAGTTGTCTCCAGAAGCTGGTCATATGTCCAAAATTTCTAAGATGACCCATCCTGAAAAAATCTTGCCTGAAGTAAATACATCTCAAATCACTCCAGCTAAAGCAGATGATAATGATCTCACAGATCTTAAGAAGGAAGATTTCTGTGATGGTGAGGTAGTGATCACAAGTGTATCATCTGCATCCCAATCTAAGCATAATTATTCCTATTTTCACAACAAGATATTGGATCAATATCCTAATCTATATAGAGAATGTAGTATTGAAAATTTTGACTATTATAGGATTACTGATAGGACAACATGCGAGAACTATATCTGCCTATTATACAAATTAGGTCATGATGATGAAGAAATAGAAGGTAGGTATAAAGCAGGATCTTACTTTATTAAATGTGAACAGCGTGAAATTGAGATAATTGCATAGTCCAGATGATTAGACAGCTTTCTATCTGAAAAAATTTTTAATCTTTTTTTCAAATTGGTGACCTGAGGAAGAAAAAGGGATTTAAATTGTTTGCAGTCATATAAAAAGGAAAATGACTGAGTCTGATAAAATACTAACTGCTGAATATCTAGATTGGCATACCAAATTAATTGGATTATCAAGTATTTTGACAGATAAGATTCATTTCAAATTACACAAAAGATATAAAAAACAGACTGGAAATGAGCCATGGCAACTAACAGAAGTACATAAATCGGAAGTTATAAATTCAAAGCCAAAAAAAGGGCCTATAACTTTTAAAGTCAGATCTGATCCAGAATTAATTATCAAATCCGTCTTAGAGCACTTCCCATACTTGAAATTCCGAAATAGTTTCAGAGGGATTGATAATTATAATTTTGCATTATCTCAGCCGTGGAGCTCATCATGCCCTATTTGTGATGGAAAACATGGGAATTATGGATTACATGGCGAATGGTATAGAATAGAATATTGTCTTACTTGCTTCACTTTAAGCATTAAATTCAGGTTCGCGATTGTGGCTTAGACCGGTCATGTGAGATCGATCACCTAAAATGCGCAGTATGATATCTGGTTAAAATTATCAGACAAGATTTTTTGCGATCAAGGGGTAGAACTGTGCGACATGAGATTTAGCACTTTTTTTTGTCATTGGGACTAACCATTCCAAGGATCTCGTTACTAACCACGAATGCAAACAAATGAAACGAACTATTAGGTTAGGGTGATGGTACTTAGGATGGAATAGACGCAATAAGACTTTATTATGTATCATTGTATCCCGATCTAAGATCTAATATGTATTTTTTATTTACAATCAATAAAGCAAAGGTGCATTAAGCACAATATATTTACATGATAATATTCCGCATAGTATGGCTGTGGGTATTGCTGAGATGATTGCTGTGTGAAAAAACTAACTATAACATCTTGTAGATACGTAATATTCTCGAACTTTCTTGCAGATATTCGTAATAATAATAAAAAAAGACCCTTTGTTGATCCAAGGGGTATGATCCCATATGGTTAGCGATCAAGGCTTTTATTATGTCTTTGAGCGAATCTGTTGATCTGATTTTCCATGATGCCATCATAATTCCCCCGAAGATTTATTCCAAATTCGATTCTTGGACGACTACAAGTCATATAAAAAGAAGGCAAGACAGTTAGTGAACCCTTTTATCTGTCTTGCACAAATATAAGCAAAAATCAAGTGAACTAATAAAATCTACAAACTTACCAATATTTACATCGTTAATATTTATAACCAAATAAACGAGATTGTCTGCAAAGTAATTACAAGGTAGGTTGGTTATTGTTCAACTAGCTTCTTGAAACATGTCATCACGATGTTAATCAATCTTCCCGCCTCTATAGATGTACCAAAATAAAACGGACATATTGCTCTTCTTACTATATATCGGCATTTTGATCTTTGCCGAGAAAATCACTGACCATCATCACACGTATAATAGGCGCAGTGAACTTATTCACAAAATTACTCACATGAATTTTGTCACATGCGACAGCACAGCAAAAGTCTGGCGCAGTGCATCAAAAAATTTATCTTATATAACGTGCTGAATTCTTAAAAGTTTGTGCAATATCGTACTGGCGATAACGCAGAAAAAATTAAGCAATAAATATCTTGTGTATGAGGCGGAATGGAATTATGTGAAAATGAATCGTGATGGTAAGTGTAAATCGTTATTGTATTATTTTTTTTTTATCTCAGTTGCTAATGCTTCCGTAATTTTACTATAGGTTCGAAACTTCTTAATCTCAGAGAAGTTCTCTTTCAAGAAATAATATTTTGTATATTTGGGAGAGATATAGATAGACAAAAATACTGTAAATATTGGTGGGATAATTTATTTCGGAAATTTAGTATAGTAAAAGGCTGTGGGGTGAGAATCACAATAGAAGTATAAACAAAATAGCTATAGACATTTTTCGTAAAGATGAGAAAGCAAAGAAATAACTTGATGTTGGGACTCGCATTAAATGGCCTAGGATCCGCGTGCTCCCTCCCTCTTTGATAACATCATACATTTCTCTTGCTATTCTACCATTCTCCACTTCTGAAAATTAATAAAGTTTCACAATAGCACTAAATAATTTTGATTGGAAAAAAGTGAGACAAATGTTACTTTGTTGAAAGAGGTAGTAAATGAAAAATACTCCCTGCGAAGTTGAAAGTATAGCAAAGGAAAAAGCATAGGAAAAAGCATAGCAAGTGTTGAAGCGTATCCATCTGGTCGAGCGCAGTCATTCGCAAAGGACTCCCAATGTAAGGTAATAGCGTCCCTGCATATCCAGATGAATGAGCTCAGTCTTTTCCCGACCTTCAACTTAATACCTAGCAGACGCTTGCGCAGGGGTTGTGATTTTCATATTATATGAAAACATCCGCAGAATACAAGCGAATAAGCTCAGTTTTTTCTGCTCGAGTAAACTAGCTATGCTTTTAACGAAAAAAAATTTTTTTTGTCAGATAATTAATTTATATTTAATTTGTGGCACAAATCAAATCATGTGCTTATCAGTATAAAAATAAAAAAGCGCGTTACGACTCGCGTTACTTGTGTAAAATTTCTGGCTAAAATGAGAACGCACGAGGTTCGCGAAGAGCAAAACCAACATCGAATAATAGAGAAAAGTGAAGAAAAGGAAACGTCAAGCGCATGTCATATTTCATGAAAAGTTGGATGAAAAACTTGACGGTATAAAACTGTCTGATGCAACTGTAGTTTCTTCGTTGCCATCTACTTCATCGGTATCATCTTCCACATCAATTCGACGAAAACAATCTCCAGAAGAGTTACGAGGTTATGAAGAAGAAGATGAGGATGGAGCTTCTTCATCTGCTTCAAAAAAAGCTCGGAAGGAGGTAAGTTAGTTATTTTATTGACTAGTCTCCATGAAATAACTACATTAGTTTTCTGCTGGACAGGAAAACCCAACTAGTAACGTTTATAGCGAGTTGGCACATCAGATAATACCGCGAACTGACTCCTCTGAGTCTTCAAAAGTGATAAATGATGAAGAAAGGTATTCGTGATTATTTACTAGCAATTGCAAAACATTAATTCTCACATGTTATTGTTTAAATAGGATGGTCAAAAATGATGAAGAACTAGAGTTATATGCCAAGGAGTCAATCCGGGACGATGAAGAGAAATGGATTGTGTGTGGTACTGATTTGTGTAATGAATTAACTAAATGGAAACAAAAGAAAGCTCGACCGCGTACTGAGTAAGTATTTTTGTAAATACTTGTGTTTGAGATGCATATGTTTAAACATCTGATTCAAATGCCGGAATTTTAGTTTGGGATTCTACGACATAGTAGACATCACACCAGGATCAAATAGTGATTTCGTACGATCATTACCCATTGATGTAGTACGCGAAATAAGGCAATCAAAACATTGCCAACAGTTAAAAATGGACGATACGGATGGCATGAAAAAATATATTGTTAACTTTATTAAGGTATTGCTAGATACAAATTCTATAATGCCAAAATATCCTGTTGCTTTGCTTCATACTCTTAACTAATATGACTTGCAATATAGGCGAAAGATTTTCGTAAGCTTGTAGATGAAAGCTACATGAAAACACGAATCAACAATAATACGAAATTCATATGGGACTATTTGAACATCCTGTAAGAACCATTTTGACAAATGTGTTTTTCTACTTATATCTTACCATTCAAGTTCTTTTCTTTAGTGTTGAATCATTTGAACGAAACAATGATCTCGCAGAATATAATTTATCTGAGTTAGGATATCGGGAAATCTTCCTCGCACCCCTAATGCGTAGTCTATTCCGTGGAATGCACCGGGAAATGAATATTTTTTTGTGAGTATTGAATAGCACGTGATATGATCTTAATTCTTCTTTATAACGTGTGTTTGTCTAGTGGCGAAAAGTGTCTGTTCGCCTCATCAGAGGATCGCAATTTGGAAAAGAACGATGAGGAAGATCGTAGTGCTGGCCGAAAAATAGACATCATCTGGTCTATGAAACCGACCGACCTTGAGTTTTCCATATGCGAAGTTAGTGGTCCCCCAAACCAACACAACCATACCCATTTTTTTAACGATAAATTAAAGATCGCCAAAATGTTGAAGGTGATCCTTAATAGGATCGTAAGAAAGTACGGTAGTGTGGGCATTAATTTGACTTCATTAAAATTGTATGGCCTACATGTTTATTGTAAGTACTTCCAATTCTGAAAACGATATATATTTTACGAGATTAACATTCTCCAACTTCGTACAGATAATGAGATAATAGTGTACGAAATGTCAATACCTTCTGGTGGATTATACGTTTTCTGTGAAGTTTTACGGTCAAAACTGCCAACAAATGAGGTTGAAGTGGGATTATTGTTACGATCAGTACCGGCATTGCTAAAATTCAGGGTTTGTTTTCATTCTAAATCAATCACATTCCATTAGTTTCTCACATTTATCTTGCGAAATTTTTTGTTACTAGAAGTTACTTGAGGAGAGTTTGACTGATCTGAAAGATTATATTCAAGATGCGTGTACTCGTACACCGGATGATAATGGAAACGCAGGCCTATTTATTACGCATACCGATTTGACTCCCACAGCAAATAGAAAACAATCGAATTAATTAACTTACAATTTACTCTGTCCCCTTCACTTTCATGACAAGAAACGGAGGTTGGGTGATTTGTGTATTGCGAAAAAGGAAATATTATTTTAATATCGTACCACTTTATACTGCTTTGATGCATTTAATACAATAATAAAGTTTTACTCGTATTAGTTTTAATCATGTATGTATAGTATGGGGTGTGATGCATTGGAAAAATTTCAAGCGATTGATAAATGCGCAGTACTATTTGTGCTGGATTTGCGCATAAGATTATATCTCTTATTACAAACAATACAGCAAAGGCATTAGCACAATTTCCTACAATTGAGTATCGCCCAAAATGGACTTGTATTTTTTAATGTGGGTGCTATTGATCGGTTAAGTTACTAATACTGTAAATGTTCAAGTTCGCTGACTACTGTGTCCATAAATTGATCGCTGATATCATTACGAAATTCTGCTCGTAGATAATTATTACTGCGCTTCATTACTGCGTCCGTGACTTGTATGTCACGCATCAAAGTGAAAAAAAAAATCGTGGCTTCAAAAAAGGGTTGATCATCTCGTGATTTGAGTTGCAGGAAGGTTGCGAGGAAGTGCCGGGAACTGACTAGGAACTAGGGAGGATCATATGTGATACAAATTTTAGCCGGCCGTTAAGGTGCTGTGTATAATTTAGCCGTCTATAGAGATCGGGTCTAATTTAACCGAATCATTATATAGGGATAATCGAATAAAAATGAATCTGATATTTATTATAGTATA